TTTGCTTGTATTCTTTATGCATGCTTTATTGGGTTTTTGAGTATCCTAATTCATTAATAAAGGGAAATGGAGGCACACTGGCATGTCATTATCTCCAGCTATTATTCAAACCGAATTGAATTATGTTTAATAAAATTATTAGGATAAATTACAGATTTTTACTTTTCTAGAAAACTGCTTTTACTGAATAACCTTGATCTCAACTCATCCTATAAAAATGGAATTTTACTAAACGAACTACTTCCAATGTCACATTTTGTGCATAATATCTGCAAACATCTAAAATTTAAGGAAGCACTGTAATTTAGAATAATTCCAGGCCAAAAGTGACATTTGTAGAGGATCCAGATGCATGACAATCACATAAACCAAAGGAGCCATTTAATCATGGTCTGGATGTTATTTTTCTGACACTTATCAGTGAAACTGTCATGGATCCCTGGAATTGGGGCTATTAGAATTATTTATTTTGATATCACCCTTTTTCACATAATTGTGTTGGATGTTTTAACAGAAATTATTTATGTTCATATGCATGTGGGTATTGATTATCTATACCTGCACATTACATTATTACTTGTACATGAATTACTTCTGATTCTTTTTACAACCTGATTTGCATGCCCATATTATCTTGTAGATATTTGCAAATACGTGTGTGTGTGTGTGTGTGTGTGTGTGTGTGTGTGTATTCCTGCTCTCTTTCTTACTTGACTGAGAATACCAAGGATGTCCCCAAATGTTCATTTGAAGGTTGATTTAGTCACACTAGCAGAACCCCAGGCTCAAATGTCAGATTGGATCAGTTCTACCCTGTGCACTAATCGCGCTGCCGTCTTCCTGCTGCAGAAGTTACAGTGGCATGCTACTCATCAAGGCAGAATGTAAATGTTTAGTGATTATACAATATGTTTTTGTTAACTCCCCAGATGGGATTTTTTTTTTACCTTTGTTTGTTTATTTGAGAACAAGAGCTGAATGCTGAAATGCAGTGGCTGATGCCAGCAATCCAAGGCTTCATTAGTACAGATGAAGCAAAGCTCATTTGTTACACAAATAATTAGAGAGATTAAATGAAAATAAACACTTAGAGGATGTACAGAAGCTCTGAAGTTAGGTAATCATTTTAATTACCCTAGTGACTTCTACCAACCTTCATTACCAGCCACAGATCAAGTTCAAATTGTTTTATGTAAGAATATCATAAACCACAGGGAAAAGTACGAGAGCTGCCCAATGATTACGCTTCATAAAATGACATTTCTTCAAGCTTCCATTTAAAGGAGTTGTTTCCATTCCCGTACCTGACAAACTCTCTAAATATTTAAAGAGTGATACATTTTGCACTTAAGAGGGTTTTACCCTCATTTTATGCTTCAAAAGGACATTCTTAATAACTTTTGTATTTCTATATCTTTACTGAGATTTGATCATAAAAGATGTGGGCCCACATTTTGAGACACTGACTGTAAAACATTATGGCATATTCAGTAGATTGAGATAAATGCTACTCAGAATCATGTCATCCTTATTTCGTGACAGTCTGCACCTTGTCTTTGGGGTAAATTGATTTCCTCTTTCTTCCCTTCCCTACCCCAACCTGGGAAAACTCTACCACACACAGGAATGCCTTCCTGACAAGTGGGGGCCCTCTCTCAAGCTATTGTCAGTCCAGTTTAGAATGGATTTCATTTTACATTCCTGGGTGATGATGGCACTTCAAGATCTCTTGAGTTACCATCTTTAGAGGATGTGCTACCTATATTTAAATACCATTTATCGCCTGCCTTCACAATGCCAACTCCTCTGCAAAATGCTTTACCTCACTTATCCTATTGAGTCCTTAGAAGATGCCCAGGAAGTGTGTATTATTGACTCCATACTCCAGATGAGAAACTAAGGCTGTGAGAGGCTCATTGGCTTTCCAAAGTTGCCTAAGTAGCCCAGCTGGGAACCCAATCCAGGTCTGCCTGACTGCAAAACCGTGATGCCCCTAGAGATGATGGGATGAGGAAAACCTGGATGCAAATGCTGACGAAGGACAGCAGAAAAGATGACGTGACCTCCGGGTTGTGGATGTGCTAGTTATATGTTGTGTTGCATGACATCTGTGAATTCTGGACACCAGACGAAATCTCAGATTCCAAAATGTGATTGATTTTGAAAGTGTCTCATCTCTGAATAGCCCTGGATGCTTCTTTACCCCAAAGAAGAAGCAATTAGGAAATAGGTTTTATGGTGTAGTGGGAATAACCAAGAGTTCCATACTAATAAGATTAGTGGCGCTTTTTAATGTAATTAGTAACCACTTGAGTTTACTCCAGCTAATGCACAAGGCATTTCTTTTCAACTGCATTAACATTTCCGACAGGATGAACGAAACTTGGGTATTCTTTATAAGGGAGGTGGGGGTACATGCTGCTTTCTAGTATTTAGCCAGTTTTGCTCAGTGCTTAGAGCATTGGCCCATGCACAGTGGGGTTGTGGGTTTGATTTCTGGTCAAGGATACGCACCTGAATGCAGATCCAATCCCCAGCCCCATTAGGGCATGAGGCAACCAATTGATGTTTCTCTTCCTATCTCCCCACTCCTCCCTCCCTCCCTCTCTAAACATTAATGGAAAAAAATACCCTCAGGTGAGGATTAACAAAAAAAGAAAGAAAAGCCTTTATGACATTGTCTTCCCTTCTTCCTTTCCCAGGATGCTGACATTGATTTCTGCTGGCGCACCCCAGGCCTAGGGGTTGTGTTTTGCATACTCACAACTGTAAACCTACCTTCCCCTCACCTGGGTTCCCAGGCCCGTTTGGCTAGCCCAGAATATGTGAAGAGATGAGGATGTACTGATCTGCCGAGTTTAAAATATGAGCTGTGGGTGATACAGGGAGGTGGGGACAGAAGGCTTACCCTTGAGGGGTGGGGGCAGGGGGGTTGTTAAATCTGTATATTTGACTCTCAGGTTTCAAACTCTGAGGGGGAAGTTAGGGGAATTCACTGATGCGCCAAGGCGTGATGATAGGTGGGAGCAGCAAGGGTAGGCCCAAGACACCCAGGAGCTTCGGAAAGGTGGAGGGGCATCTGCCCTCACTCAGAAAGCGCAACCGGGGGAATTTGTGAGCAAGACCGAAGACAGACAACCGAGGGACAACCGAGGGACGATGGGCTCTGAAAGTACCATAGTGGGAGAGTGGCTTTCCCACAGCTTTGCAAGCATCTCCCTGGGACGTGACTCGGAAGTGTGGTCCCTCTTCTTTCTTCCTGGTACATTACAGACAGCCAGGGATCAGCTAGTAGGCCCACAAAATAGAAAAAGTCCAAAGGCGGCACCAATGGTTTACTGTCACAGGTCTACACATCATCATATGCGCTGTTGGATTTTGATTGCACATGTTTACAGGTAGGAGGGCCAGGCCTCTGGGTCCTGATATCTGCCCGCCGCGCACAGGGGAAGCCACTGGCTAGACCCGAGCACACACGTTCCATTTTCACTTGGCTACTTGCCACCGACCTCGGAGAAATCACTTTAAACACTGAGCCTCAGCTTCCCTTAAAAAAAAAAAAATGGTGGTGATTCTACTTCCCAGGCCTCCTCGAAAGGATCGTTGGGAGGTTCCAATTGGAGTAATTCCGATGGCAGCGAACTGCGAGTAACAGTGACGCCAAATTACTGAAGACCACACGTTAACCGCATTCAGGTGGAGTTTCAGGACTTTCCCTCCACTGATCTAACTGCAGTCAGGCAGCAACCGCTGGGATTGATTCCTTCTTAAGGGCTATCTCACATGCCAAACACCTATGTGTCCTCCCCCCCCACCCCCCTCGGGTCTCCCAGGGCTTCTATCGATTTCTGCCTTTCAGTGAAAGCGCTTTTGGTTGCCGCGGTTCGCACACCCCAGCACACCAGCCCCGCCGCTGGAAGCCAGAGAAGAATCCTTTGCCCTCTCCCGCCTCTCCTCCTCTCACTCCACACCTTAGGTCTCCCGAGTTTTCTGCACGTGAATGGGTTCCTGGCGGATCTCCGAAGACCTTGCAGTGTTTCAGAAAGCTGGGAGCGCGCGGAGATGAGCGAACGAGCCTCTGCCCCCCTCCCGGAGGTCGTGCGCCCCTCGGGGACCCTCCTCCCGCGCCTCTCGGGGCGGTGAAGCCGCCGCCCCCGGAGCGAGCTCGTCGGGTCCGACCCCGCGGAGCAGCGGGCCCCCTCCCCACTTCCCGCTCGCGGCCCCTCTCCGCCAGTAGCAGCGCTGCTGTCTTCCCACAGGAGGGCTGGGAGGGCGCCCGAGTCCGCAGCGCCCCCGCCCCCTCGCTTTTTCTTTCTTTCCTCGGTTTGGGATCTTGCTACCGGAGCCGGGAGAGGTTCGGAGAAGAGAAGAGCGAGGGACCGGAGTGCAGGCTTCCGCGGCAGCGCGCGAACCGAGCTGGGGTGCTGCGTCTCCCGCGTCCCCTCCCGGCCCTCGCCGCCCCGGCCAGGGCGTGAAGAAGGGAAGCCCTCGAAGGAGCCCACGGTTGGGGTCCCTCTGCCCGCAGCGCCGCGGGACCCGGGCGGCGACGCAGACG